CTCTCCATATACTCTGCTCTTCTTATAACATCTATACATATATACATATATTTTTTTTTCAACAAGTCAGCCGTCTCCCACCGAGGCAGGGTGACCCAAAAAAGAAAGAAAATCCCCAAAAAGAAAATACTTTCATCATCATTCAACATTTTAACCACACTCACACATTATCACTGTTTTTGCAGAGGTGCTCAGAATACAACAGTTTAGAAGCATATACGTATAAAGATACACAACATATCCCTCCAAACTGCCAATATCCCAAACCCCTCCTTTAAAGTGCAGGCATTGTACTTCCCATTTCCAGGACTCAAGTCCGGTTATATAAAATAATCGGTTTCCCTGAATCCCTTCACTAAATATTACCCTGCTCACACTCCAACAGCTCGTAAGGTCCCAAATACCATTCGTCTCCATTCACTCCTATCTAACACGCTCACGCACGCTTGCTGGAAGTCCAAATCCCTTGCCCACAACACCTCCTTTACCCCCTCCCTCCAACCTTTGAGAGGACGACCCCTACCCCACCTTCCTTCCCCTACAGATTTATACGCCCTCCATGTCATTCTACTTTGATCCATTCTTTCTAAATGACCAAACCACTTTATATTATACACAACTAAAAACTTTCCTACCACAAGTTCTCCAAGTACAGTACACCCAGTAACTTCAGTGATAGATGTGTTCTGCAAATTTGTTGTGCATGGTAAAATTGTCATGCACACATGTACAAATGGTTTTTGGGGCTTGACAAGATGTTGGAGTGTGAGTAAGGTAATATTTTGTAAAGGGAATCAGGGAAACCAGTAGCCGAACTTGAGTCCTGGAGATGGGAAGCACAATTCCTGCACTTTAAAGGAGGGGTTTGGGGTACTGGCAGTTTCAAGGGACTTCTGAACTGTCATATCTGAATGCCTCTGCAAAGACAGTGATTATGTATGAGTGAGGTGAATGTGTTGAATGATGAAAGTATTTTCTTTTTGGGGATTTTTTCTTTCTTTCTTTTTGAGTCACCCTGCCTCGGTGGGAGAAAACCAACGTGTAAAAAAAAAAAAAAAAAAAAAAAAAAAATCTTTTTAGGGTTACTTCTACCGTGGCAAGAGTTGGCCATTAAAAAAAAAATCTACTAAAAGAAATATAACACATCTGCTATTTTCTGACAAAGCAATTAAAAAAAAATACCAAGCAAACTTATATACATGTAATTAGGTAAAACAAATCCCAAATAATGGAAGCACATAACTAACTTTTGCTTCCCATGTAACCCGTAGTGTTGGCATAGACAGTCCTTTGTAGTCACAAAATCCTATCTCAGCATCCTCTCCTCCAGCTCTGGCTTCTTCCCATGCATTAAATGCGTTTAATGCTGCTATGTGATCACTGTATCGATTGCCAGCAAAGGCACGCTGAAACGGGCTAAGTCGACGGAATTCTGGAGCTGCAATGAAACGAGTATTTAGTGATTATTTTTATATCATTAAAAATAAAATATCTAATATTCAAAACAGATTAAACTGCAACTGACAGGCACCTAATAGCTTGCCACAAGCAAAGGTACAGAAACTGCCTAATCAGCCAAACAATTTCTGCATATAACTAAGTCACCACAACTGGGGTAATCACACTTACGAATGATAAAAATTTCAGGAGAAGTAGAGTTGTGTGCAGCAATGGTACACATGGCATCACCACAAAAGAAGATACAACCCAGGATCACCATCTTCCCCAAGCGAGGCTCTATTGGTAGTCTTGCCAGGATACGTCCAAGAGGAGTTAGTTCATCATTGTTGTCCAAACACTTCATCTCTGAAAATAAGCTTAGTACAGTACTGTACTCTATTTAATCATTAAAAATAAAAATTAGCTAATACTTTTAATAACTCACATATATATAGGACAACCAAGATGCTACACAGTGAGGTGAGCTCCATCTCTTGGTTCTGCCACTTAACTTTTGACCACTATACCACTTTACTTTTGTAAATTCAGAACTCTATGTATATTGTGCAGCATCCTAGCAATTGTGTATTTTTTTTTTTAATACGTTTCCCAATGAGGTAGGGTGACCCAAAAAAGAAAAACCCTTTCACCAACATTCACATATAATCACTGTCTTTGCAGAGGTGCTCAGATACGACAGTTTAGATGTCACTCCAAAGAGCCAATATCCCAAACCTCTCCTTTAAAATGCAGGCATTGTACTTCCCACCTCCAAGACTCAAGTTTGGCTAACCAGTTTCCTTGAATCCCTTCACAAAATATTTACCTGCTCACAGCTTACTAAAAATAAAAAGAAGATAATCTTTCATAAATCTACAGAATAAATCATAACACAGTTGGATCAATTCTTAACTAATGCACACTTTTAAGAGAAAACTAACACTGATGCTCGATGATGCCTCAGTCTTTCTTGGACCACGATCATTACTGTCCTTACTCAGAGATAACAAAGAAAGTCAACCTTACCTCTTAATGTGACTTCTGCTTCAATAACAGCATCTATGGGTGGAGCCTGAACAGCTTTAGACAGAAATTCACCGATGGATCCTAAGCGTAAAAGCTTAATCGACAGAGCCACTTCATGTAAGGGAGTGCGGAACATTTCTGGAGTCATGTGTTCATCTAATCTCTCATATCTAGCCTGAAAAAGGGATCTTTTGAGGACTGGATTACATTGTCACCAAGAAAACTTATGTAGATGCAGTAACACTTCTAAAGAACATTGAAATGAAAAATAAGTGAAGTATAAAGTAAATATATGAACAGTTCTGATAAAGAACCATTCATGTATCAAGAGACAGCTGGTAACAAATTATGATGCCTCTTTAGGTACTGCAATGCAGCCAAGATCACTTACTGGTAGATGCTCCTGGTCATAATAATGATATAGATAGCCAAGAAGCAAGGTAACAAAAAGCAAAGAGGGAGAACATATGGAAAAACTGAATGAATGCAATGTAAATTTGAAAAATCCACAGAAATTTATATGCATGGTTTGTAAGATGCTATTTTACAACTATTTATTTGTAATACCTTACTGCACATATGGAAACAAATGCCAGCCCTGACTCTTCCAGCTCGACCTTTGCGTTGTTCCAAGTTGGTTCGTGAAGCCCACACCGTTGCATAGTTGGTCATGTTATTATGTGATGTGAAGAGTTTCATTTTTGCTTTACAAGAGTCGATCACAAACACAACATCATTGATTGTGATGGAAGACTCAGCAATGTTTGTTGCCAGGATAATCTGAGAGAGAGAGAATAATGAAAGTTAATTATAAGATAATCTAAGAAGTTATAAAGAATAAATGAACTATAAACAATGTCTTTACACAAATTTACTGGAACTACTTTACCTTCCTAACACCATCTGAAACTAAGTCAAACACTCTGCGCTGATCCTCTCGTGGAAGCTGTGAGTGCAGAGGTAATATGCAGTACTTATGTCCTCCTGTGAAAATACAGTTTTGTTATTACACATTACCCTCATAACAGAGAAGCTGAACGAGCATCATCCAGTACATATAGGTATAAGAAACTAAACTTGAATAGAGAAGAGAAGACTTGACAGATATCATGTAACCAGAGCTTAACTTCAGGTTGCTGTTCTAATTCGCAAGTTTCTAATGCATCGAGTTATAAATATACACATGCATGTAGTCCTGAGTTAGCCTGATCATAAAATATTTTAGCACATTACCCATGAATTATCATTCGATGGTCTGTGATGGGTAGGCGGTGATATTATTTGTCGTATCTATTGATGGTTTTGGGGGCCATTTCAGTAATATGAAGCATTAAAAAACCCACAGCTAAATATATTCAACCCTATGCTGAATGTAAGAAATTTCAAGTTTTACATGCCCTCTTTTACGTTCATCAGACAGAGAAAATGCTTATTAGACTTCCATTTCACACTCATAAGACAAGAGAAGAGTACAGTCCTGGATGGTAACATCCCAATACTCAATACTTTCCTAAATGCTTTTTGTTTTTTAATTCATCAATCATCTCTGGCTAAGATATGGTAGCTCAAAGAAAACACATTCACAATCCATCATTCAATCACCATATTTCCAGAAGTGTTATATTTCTTTAAAAATGCAAATTAAGAGTACATATAATTTAAAAATTCATCTTCACCAGAGATCGCTACCACACTCAGCTCACACACCGAGGTCTGGAGTTCAAATCTCCGGTACGGCTGGAAAACATTAGGACGTGTTTCCATAAGACACCTGCTGTCCTTGTTCACCCATCAGTATAAAATGGGTACCTGGGTATTAGTTGACTGGTGTGGGTCGCATCCTGAGACAAAACTGACCTAGTTTGCCCGAAATGCTCTGAGCATGACAAGTGACTTTCTATATACAGTGGACCCCCGCATAACGATGGCATCACATAGCGATTTTATTCCATACCGATAATAAAATTTATCGCAAAAGTTTTTGCTGCGTCCATAACGATAAAAACCCGCTTCACCGATTTTCGCTCCGGGAGACGGTCAATTTGCCCTCACATGTGCAGGCGTACTTGTTTACCAGCCAGCTCCGCGTAACATTTCCAGCACACTCGGAATATTTCGTATTATATACAGTGTTTTCGGTGCTGTTTCTGGAAAATTTAAATGACATGGGCCCCAAGAAACGATTCTAGTGCAATCCTGTGGTTTAAAAAAGGTGAGAATTAGTATGGAAATTAAGAAAGATTTTGAAGGGTTTGGGCTAACCTGAGACCTATGCCAGTTGTGGAATCCATGTGCCTACTCAAAGATTAAGGAAATGTGTGACAGTGGGTTGAACTGCAAACCTTTATAGATTGAAATCACCTGACACAGCTGTTGCAAGCCGTGCTGGTGATATTTCAATGACAATGTTATGGCCCATTTTAGGAAAGTCTTGAAGAAGGGAGGTACAGAGCTCTATGGACAGATTTGTTGTGCGACAGAGGTCCAGTGACTCTCAAGCTGGTCCTAGTGGCATTAAAAGAGAAAGGGAATGTACCCCAGAAAAGGACTTGCTACCTCAAGTCCTAATGGAGGAGGGGATTCCCCTTCTAAACAGTAAGAAGATAATGCTCTCCTCACTCCTCCCATCCCATTAAAATCATCACCAGATCTTCAATAAAAGTAAGTGTCATGTAATTGTGCATGCCTTTTTCAGTTTGTGTGTATTAAAATTAACATTTCATGTGGTAAAAAAAAATTTTTTTCATACTTTTGGGCGTCTTGCACGGATTAATTTTATTTCCATTATTTCTTATGGGGAAAATTCATTCGCATAACGATTATTTCGCATAACGATGAGCCCTCTTGCACGGATTAAAATCATTAACCGGGGGTCCACTGTAGTGATATGTTATTGACGTCGGCTAGGCCTGTATACCATGTACATGTACTTGTAGAAATAGAGATATTATATTATTATAACATGGGAGTAATAAAAACCTACCAAAAGTTGGGTGTTGCTTTAGGTGTCTCATAAGAGTAAAAATGAGGTTCCAGCCAGGAAGAAATATCAGAACAGCTCCAGGGGTGTTAAGAGTATCTAAGTATTTCAGCAAAGCTTCCATCAATTCAAAGCTTAAATCTTTTTCAGTCAGCATGGACAATGATCTTTTCGTAGCATCGGAATAGTGACCAGAGGTTATAATATTCAGGTTCTCTTCTGGTTCATCCCCCATTACTTCATCATCCTTCTCCTAGAAGAATAACAAGAACATAATGTCAACACTAATTTGCCTTTGTATTACCAAAGTACATATATTGCAAAGTCCAATATACAGTGGACCCCCGGTTAACGAACTTTTTTCATTCCAGTAGTATGTTCAGGTGCCAGTACTGACCGAATTTTTTCCCATAAGGAATATTGTGAAGTAGATTAGTCCATTTCAGACCCCCAAACATACACGTACAAACGCACTTACATAAATACACTTACATAATTGGTCGCATTTGGAGGTGATCGTTAAGCGGGGGTCCACTGTACAGTGGACCCCCGGTTTACAATCAGCTCCCAATGCGACCAATTATGTAAGTGTATTTAAGTAAGTGCATTTGTATGTGTATGTTTAGGGGTCTGAAATGGACTAATCCAATTCACAATATTCCTTATGGGAACAAATTCGGTCAGTACTGGCACCTGAACATACTTCTGGAATGAAATAATATCGTAAACCGGGGGTCCACTGTACTGTTTCTCAGATCATCATCTTTTCATCTAAAATTAATACTAACCTTTTTATTCTTCTTTCTGGTGTCAGGAGGGGGCACAAACTTTGTAAGCTCAATACAGTCTTCTAAGAAATACTCCTTTACAGGAAAGGCTCGTCCTGGTACCTCAATCAGACATGGGTTAACAAAATATTCAGAGAATAGTGAAATATCGATGGTCGCAGACATGAGAATTATGCGAAGATCTGGGAAAGCACGCACCTGTAATGAAAAGGACAATATGTACTATATTTATCAGTAACATAAAATGCATCTCTTTACAGAGTAAATGTCCTAATGCATAGAACATCAGTTGGAAGAGCTTTAACAGTGTAAACACATAGATGGTATATGACACCTTCAACTAAGATCTAATTTAACCTGAAATCATTAAATCCAGTTATTAACACTCAATCTAAAGCCGAGATTATTTATATTTAGCTTTTGCTCTGAAGAAATTACAATAACTTTCATCGTCTTTTAACACAACTGCCACCTCCCACCAAGGTAAGGTGACCCCAAAAGAGGGGAAATACTTTCACCAACATTCAATCAATTTACTCCTGCCAGAAGTGTACTGACATCACAGTTTAGACGACCCTCTGAACTGCAAAACTCACTCCTCCTTCAGAATGCAGGCAATGTACTTTCAACCTACAAGACTGAAGTTTGACAGACTGGTTGTCCTGAATCCCTTCATGTTACCTTGCTTACATTCCAATAGCAAGTCAAACACAAAATCCACTTTTCTCCACTAACTCCTATTATGTCTTCCTATTCTACCTGATTCTTTCTAAATGGCCAAACCACCTTCCAGCAGACATGCTTGAGCGTGTTCGATAGGAGTGAATGGAGACGAATGGTATTTGGGACCTGACGAGCTGTTGGAGAGTGAGCAGGGTAATATTTAGTAAAAATTATAGAGGAATAAGCTTACTGAGTATACCAGGAAAAGTGTACAGTAGGGTTATAATTGAAAGAATTAGAGGTAAGACAGAATGTAGGATTGCAGATGAGCAAGGAGGTTTTAGAGTGGGTAGGGGATGTGTGGATCAGGTGTTTACATTGAAGCATATATGTGAACAGTATTTAGATAAAGATAGGGAAGTTTTTATTGCATTTATGGATTTAGAAAAGGCATATGATAGAGTGGATAGAGGAGCAATGTGGCAGATGTTGCAAGTATATGGAATAGGTGGTAAGTTATTAATGCTGTAAAGGTTTTTATGAGGATAGTGAGGCTCAGGTTAGGGTGTGTAGAAGAGAGGGAGAATACTTCCCGGTAAAAGTAGGTCTTAGACAGGGATGTGTAATGTCACCATGGTTGTTTAATATATTTATAGATGGGGTTGTTAAGGAAGTAAATGCTAGGGTGTTTGGGAGAGGGGTGGGATTAAATTATGGGGAATCAAATTCAAAATGGGAATTGACACAGTTACTTTTTGCTGATGATACTGTGCTTATGGGAGATTCTAAAGAAAAAATTGCAAGGTTAGTGGATGAGTTTGGGAATGTGTGTAAAGGTAGAAAGTTGAAAGTGAACATAGAAAAGAGTAAGGTGATGAGGGTGTCAAATGATTTAGATAAAGAAAAATTGGATATCAAATTGGGGAAGGAGGAGTATGGAAGAAGTGAATGTTTTCAGATACTTGGGAGTTGACGTGTCGGCGGATGGATTTATGAGGATGAGGTTAATCATAGAATTGATGAGGGAAAAAAGGTGAGTGGTGCGTTGAGGTATATGTGGAGTCAAAAAACGTTATCTATGGAGGCAAAGAAGGGAATGTATGAAAGTATAGTAGTACCAACACTCTTATATGGGTGTGAAGCTTGGGTGGTAAATGCAGCAGCGAGGAGACGGTTAGAGGCAGTGGAGATGTCCTGTTTAAGGGCAATGTGTGGTGTAAATATTATGCAGAAAATTCGGAGTGTGGAAATTAGGAGAAGGTGTTGGAGTTAATAAAAGTATTAGTCAGAGGGCAGAAGAGGGGTTGTTGAGGTGGTTTGGTCATTAGAGAGAATGGATCAAAGTAGAATGACATGGAAAGCATATAAATCTATAGGGAAGGAAGGCGGGATAGGGGTCGTCCTCGAAAGGGTTGGAGAGAGGGGGGTAAAGGAGGTTTTGTGGGTAAGGGACTTGGACTTCCAGCAAGCGTGCGTGAGCGTGTTAGATAGGAGTGAATGGAGACGAATGGTACTTGGGACCTGACGATCTGTTGGAGTGTGAGCAGGGTAATATTAGTGAAGGGATTCAGGGGAAACCGGTTATTTTCATTATAGTCGGACTTGAGTCCTGGAAATGGAAGTACAATGCCTGCACTTTAAAGGAGGGGTTTGGGATATTGGCAGTTTTGGAGGGATATGTTGTGTATCTTTATATGTGTATGCTTCTAGACTGTTGTATTCTGAGCACCTCTGCAAAAACAGTGATAATGTGCGAGTGTGGTGAAAGTGTTGAATGATGATGAAAGTACAGTGGACCCCGCTTAACGATCACCTCCAAATGCGACCAATTATGTAAGTGATATTTATGTAAGTGCGTTTGTACGTGTATGTTTGGGGGTCTGAAATGGACTAATCTACTTCACAATATTCCTTATGGGAAAAAATTCGGTCAGTACTGGGACCTGAACATACTACTGGAATGAAAAAAGTTCGTTAACCGGGGGTCCACTGTATTTTCTTTTTGGGGATTTTCTTTCTTTTTTGGGTCACCCTGCCTCGGTGGGAGACGGCCGACTTGTTGAGAGAAAAAAAAAAAAAAAAAAAAAAAAATTCAGGGAAACCACTTATTTTACATAACCGGACTCGAGTCCTGGAAATGGGAAGTACAATGCCTGCACTCTAAAGGAGGGGTGTGGGATACTGGCAGTTTGAAGGGATATGTTGTGTATCTTTATACATATATGCTTCTAAACTGTTGTGTTCCGAGCAAAAACAGTGATTATGTGCGAGTGAGGTGAAAGTATTGAATGATGATGATGAAAGTATTTTCTTTTTGGGGATTTTCTTTCTTTTTGGGTCACCCTGCCTCGGTAGGAGATGGCTGACTTGTTAAAAAAAAAAAAAAATCACATACCGTCTAATTCTAATGCTCCTAATTCTCTGCATGTTCAGGCTACACATGGCTCTCAAGCAAAATATCTACACTGATTACAGCCTCCTCACTGAAATGTTTGAAGACTATGCTGAACAACCACATTTTAATATGGGTGTTGGTACTGCCATATTCTGGTACATTCGCTTTTTTGCCTCCATAGAAAAAATTTCTTCCCACAAATATCTCAACACACTACCCACCTTTCTTCCCCTCATCTATGCCATGGTCCACCCTGTCTTCCATAGATCTATTTGTCATCATGTCCACTTAGAGATATGCAAAGACATTTACACTTTCCATACCTCTCTCCAATAAGATTGTAAATATAATGTCCAGAAACATTGTGGCAAAAGACTATATGAATGGTGCAAGAACTATAAGGAAATCGTTTAGGGATACCTGATGAACAATAAAACATTCTAATGAATATAGCGTTTCAAGAACAGCTTACCATATAATGTGAAACTATAAGGACTCATTGTCAACACTGGTACGGATACTAAAAAGTACAGGATATGAGTAAGGTGATGAGAGTATCAAATGATTCAGATAAAGAAAAATTCGATATCAAATTGGGGAGGAGTAGTATGGAAGAAGTGAAAGTTTTCACATATTTGGGAGCTGACATGTCAGCGGATGGATTTATGAAGGATGAGGTTAATCACAGAATTTTTTTTTTTTTTTTCCCAACAAGTTGGCCGTCTCCCACCGAGTCAGGGTGACCCAAAACAGAAAGAAAATCCCCAAAAAGAAAATACTTTCATCATCATTCAACACTTTCACCACACTCACACATTATCACTGTTTTTGCAGAGGTGCTCAGAATACAACAGTTTAGAAGCATACACATATAAAGATACACAACATATCCCTCCAAACTGCCAATATCCCAAACCCCTCCTTTAAAGTGCAGGCATTGTACTTCCCATTTCCAGGACTCAAGTCGACTATATGAAAATAACCGGTTTTCCCTGAATCCCTTCACTAAATATTACCCTGCCACACTCCAACAGATCGTCAGGTCCCAAGAAAATAAACCATTCGTCTCCTTCACTCCTAAACGCTCACGCACGCTTGCTGGAAGTCCAAGCCCCTCGCCACAAAACCCTTTACCCCTCTCCCATCCCTTTCGAGGATGACCCTACCCTCCTTCCTTCCCCTATAGATTTATATGCTTTCCATGTCTTTCTACTTTGATCCATTCTATCTAAATGACCAAACCACTCAACAACCCTCTTCTGCCCCTGACTAATGCTTTTATTAACTCCACACCTTTTCCTAATTTCCACACTCCAAATTTTCTGCATAATATTTACACCACACATTGCCTTAGACGGACATCTCCACTGCCTCCAACCGTCTCTTCGCTGCTGCATTTTACCACCCAAGCTTCATATCCATAAAGAGTGTTGGTACTACTATACTTCATACATTCCCTTCTTTGCCTCCATAGATAACGTTTTTTGACTCCACATATACCTCAATGCCACTCCACCTTTTTTCCTCATCAATTCTATGATTAACCTCATCCTTCATAAATCCATCCGCCGACACGTCAACTCCCAAGTATTTTGAAAACATTCACTTCTTCCATACTCCTCCCCAATTTGATATCCAATTTTTCTTTACCTAAATCATTTGATACCCCTCATCCCCTTTTACTCTTCTCTATTTTCATTTTCAACTTTCTACCTTTACCACATTCCCAAACTCATCCACTAACCTTTGCAATTTTTCTTTGAATCTCCCATAAGCACAGTATCATCAGAAAAAAAGTAACTGTCAATTCCCATTTTAAATTTGATTCCCCATAATTTAATCCCACCCCTCTTCCGAACACCCTTGCATTTACTTCTTTACAACCCCATCTGTAAAATAATTAAAAAAACCATGGTGACATCACACACCCCTGTCTAAGATCTACCTTTACCGGGAAGTATTTCCCCCTCTCTTCTACACACCCTAACCTGAGCCTCACTATCCTCATAAAAAACTCTTAACATTCATTTAGTAACTTACCACCTATTCCATATACTTGCAACATCTGCCACATTACCCCTCTATCCACTCTATCATATGCCTTTTCTAAATCCATAAATGCAATAAAAACTCCTACCTTTATCTAAATACTCTTCACATATATGCTTCAATGTAAACATTGATCTACACATCCCCTACCCACTCTGAAGCCTCCGCTCATCCGCAATCCTACATTCTGTCTTACCTTAATTCTTTCAATTATAACCCTACCATATAATTTTTCCTGGTATACTCAGTAAACTTATTCCTCTATAATTTTTACAATCTCTTTTTTTCCCCTTTCCTTTTATTAAAGGGACTATACATGCTCTCTGCCAATCCCTAGGTACCTTCCCCCTTTTCATACATTTATTAAACAAAAGTACCAACCACTCCAACACTATATCCCCCCTGCTTTTAACATTTCTGTCATGATCCCATCAGTTCCAACTGCTTTACCCCTTTTCATTCTAAGTAATGGCATCACGTACCCCCACCACACTTACATTCTGCTTTTTTTTCACTCCTAAAAGATGGTATCCCTCCCTGGCCAGTGCATGAAATTACCGCCTCCCTTTCTTCCTCAACATTTAAAAGTTCCTAAAAATATTCTCGCCATCTACCTAATACCTCCTCTTCCCATTACTAACTCCCCTACTCTTTTTTTAACTGAAAAAACCCATACTTTCGCTAGGCTTTTTAAATTTGTTTAACTCACTCCAAATTTTTTTCTTATTTTCATTAAAAAATTTCTTGACAGTGCCTCTCCCCACTCTATCATCTGCTCTCCTTTTGCACTCTCTCCCCACTCTCTTTCCCTTTTTCTTTTACTCTCCATATACTCTGCTCTTCTTATAACACTTCTGCTTTGTAAAAACCTCTCATAAGCTATCTTTTTTTCTTTTTTTCACCCCCTTTTACTTCATCATTCCACCCAATCTTCCTCTTTCCTCCTGCCCCACCCTCCTATAACCACAAACTTCTGCCCCACATTCTAATACTGCATTTTTAAAACTATTCCAACCCTCTTAAAACCCCCCCACTATCATCTTTGCACTAGCCCACCTTTCTGCCAATAGTAGCTTATATCTCACCCGAATTTCCCTTTCCTCCTTATTTTTTTAACACTTTCACCCCCCCTCTTACTTGTTGTCGCCACCTTCCTCTTTTCCCATCTACCTCTTTAACTGTAGTACAACTAAATAATGATCCGATATATCAGTTGCCCCTCTATAAACATGTACACCCTGGAGCCTACCCATAAGCCTTTTTCCACCAATACATAATCAAACAAACTACTTCATTACGTGCTACATCATACCTTGTATATTTATTTACCCTCTTTTTCATAAATATGTATTACTTATTACCAAATTTCTTTTCTACACATAGCTCAATTAAAGGCTCCCCATTTACATTTACCCCCGGCACCCCCAAATTTACCTTTCTACTCCCCCCATAACATTTTTACCCACTTTAGCATTGAATCCCCAACCCTCATTACTCTCACACTTAATTCAAAACTCCCATGCATTCACTCAACATTTCCCAAAATCCTCTCTCTCTTCCTCTACACTTCTCTCTTCTCCAGGGGCATACACGCTTACTATAACCCACTTTTCACATCCAATCTTTATTTTACTCCACATAATCCTTGAATTAATACATTTGTAGTCCCTCTTTTCCTGCCATAGCTTATCCTTCAACATTATTGCTACTCCTTCTTTAGCTCTAACTCTATTTGAATCCCTGTGACCTAATCCCATTTATTCCTCTCCATTGAAACTCTCCCACCCCCTTCAGCTTTGTTTCACTTAAAGCCAGGACATCTAGCTTCTTCTCATTCATAACATCCACAATCATCTCTTTCTTATCATTTGCACAACATCCAGAAATGATGAAGGAAAAAAGGTGAGTGATGCATTGAGGTATATGTGGAGGCAAAAAATGTTATCTATGGAGGCAAAGAAGGGAATGTATGAAAGTATAGTAGTACCAACACTCTTGCATGGATGTGAAGCTTGGGTTGTAAATGCTGCAGCGAGGAGGCGGTTGGAGGCAGTGGAGATGTCCTGTCTAAGGGCAATGTGTGGTGTAAATATGCAGAAAATTCGGAGTGTGGAAATTAGGAGAAGGTGTGGAGCTAATAAAAGTATTAGTCAGAGAGCTGAAGAGGGTTTGTTGAGGTGGTTTGGTCATTTAGAGAGAATGGATCAAAGTAGAATGACATGGAGAGCGTATAAATGTGTAGGGGAAGGAAGGAGGGGTAGAAGTCGTCCTCGAAAAGGTTGGAGGGAGGGGGGTAAAGGAGGTGTTGTAGGCGAGGGGTTTGGACTTTCAGAAAGCGTGCATGAGCATGTTAGATAGGAGTGAATGGAGACAAATGGTATTTGGGACCCTGATGAGCTGTTGAAGTGTGAGCAGGGTAATATTTAGTGAAGGGATTCAAGGAAACCGGTTATTTTATATAACCGGACTCAAGTCCTGGAAATGAGAAGTACAATACCTGCACTCTAAAGGAGGGGTTTGGGGTACTGGCAGTTTGGAGGGGTATATTGTGTATTTTTATATGTATATACTTTTAAACTGTTGTATTCTGGGCACCTATGCAAAAACAGTGATTATGTGTGAGTGATGTAAAGTGTTGAACGATGATGAAAGTATTTTCTTTTTGGGGATTTTCTTTCTTTCTGGGTCACCCTGCCTCAGTGGGAGATGGCCAACTTGTTGAGAGAAAAACAAAAAAAATGAGGAACAACTTACCATGTCACGTAACACAATAAGTATAAAATCCGTGTTGATGTCTCTCTCGTGAATTTCATCAACAATCACATGAGATACACCTCTCAGCCCAGCTTCTAACTTTCTCAGCAGAACTCCAACAGTGCAGAATAATATTCCACCATATGGTCTTGGAAGTACAGACTCAAACCGTACAGAATATCCAACACTATTACCAGTATCTTCTCCACGCTCACAGGCAACACGGTCAGCAACAGACACTGCAGATATACGACGAGGCTGTGTGACAAATATGTTGCAATAGGCTCCTGATCCTGACTGAATGTAGTCATCCAATATATACTGACAAACCTGTTGGAAAAAATAAAATTGTGATGTGAATGAACCATCTGCACTTACAGCACAGTAAACCACTGAGAATACAGAGGATCCATGCAGCCATAATAAATATTGTATAACTGTGGATGCACTCCAAAAAATCATAATACAGTTAGTTTTAATCTAGCCATTAAATATTAAGAAGTACAGGAGAGCCTCATTTGTACAGCTCTACGGTTCACGGCCCCAAATAATAAGTGAAAATCGCTGGCATATACGTATAGTATGCATCTAAAATGCCTGATAACATGTTAACACTATCATATATTAACCCTTAAATGGTCCAAACATATATATACGTTTTTTCAACATCTGAAAGTATGTAAAAAAATGTAGATCTTTTTTTTTGTTTTACATGTGAAAACGTGTAGAAAAAACTTTTATCTACGTTTTTTTTTGTTATATTTGAAAAAATGTAAAAAAAAAGGTAGATCTACTTTTGTAGCACTACGAATTTGAATGTCGATCTGTTTGGACCGTTTAAGGGTTAAGTGTTCAATATGGCTAGGCATTAACAAAAAAAGATAAAAAAGTAAAATAAATACATAGTACATAGCAGATGGGTCTATGAAAGATGAGGTGAATCATAGAATTGATGAGGGAAAAAGGGCGAGGGGTGCACTTAGGAGTCTGTGGAGACAAACAACTTTGTCCTTGGAGGCAAAGAGGGGAATGTATGAGAGTATAGTTTTACCAACGCTCTTATATGGGTGTGAAGCATGAGTGATGAATGTTGCAGCGAGGAGAAGGCTGGAGGCAGTGGAGATGTCATGTCTGAGGGCAATGTCTGGTGTGAATATAATGCAGAGAATTCGTAGTTTGGAAGTTAGGAGGAGGTGCGGGATTACCAAAACTGTTGTCCGGAGGGCTGAGGAAGGGTTGTTGAAGTGGTTCGGACATGTAGAGAGAATGGAGCGAAACAGAATGACTTCAAGAGTGTATCAGTCTGTAGTGGAAGGAAGGCGGGGTAGGGGTCGGCGTAGGAAAGGTTGGAAGGAAGGGGTAAAGGAGGTTTTGTGTGCGAGGGGCTTGGACTTCCAGCGGGCATGTGTGAGCGTTTTTGATAGGAGTGAATGGAGACAAAGTAACATTTATGAAGGGGTTCAGGGTAACCGGCAGGCCGGACTTTAGTCCTGGAGATGGGAAGTACAGTGCCTGCACTCTGAAGGAGGGGTGTTAATGTTGCAGTTTAAAAACTGTAGTGTAAAGCACCCTTCTGGCAAGACAGTGATGGAGTGAATGATGGGGAAAGTTTTTCTTTTATGGGCCACCCTGGCTTGGTGGGAATTGGCCAGTGTGTTAATAAAAAATAATAAAAAATACAATACTTAACTTTAAAATATGGTGCAGAAAAGCGGTAAAAGCAGCAAAAAATAACGAACAATGGCTTAACTGAAAGCCAAAGAAAATGTGGAACAACAAGAGAGGGAGCTGTATATGCGTGGCCCTCCTGTATATAATACAGCTATGTATTAGACAAACACTAAATTTTCATAGGGGTATGTTATATATCTTTATACTATATGCTTCTAAATTGTTGTATCTGGGTGCCTCTGCAAAGACAGTGATTATGTGTGAGTGAGGTGAAAGTGTTGAATGATGATGAAAGTATTTTCTTTTTGGGGATTTTCTTTCTTTTTGGGTCACCCTGCCTCGGTGGGAGACGGCCAACTTGTTGGAAAAAATTTTTTTTTTTATATACTCTGATAATTATACTTATGTGTACCTGTAGCTAAATAAACCTACATACTTTGCTGACATGCAGGTACACATTAAAATCACTAAGAGTGTCTTGAGGATGTCATATTAATAATAATAATAAGCAATAATAATCACACTGAGGCACATTAAATGTCATATATTATGTTAATTTACACATTTTTCAATAGTTCATCTATGATATTTTTTTAAAATTATATAATAAACACACTACGTAACACAAAACTGATAAACACACCCCACAGTAGAATAAATTAACATAACCATGAAATGTTTTTCTGGTCGCTGAAGTGTTAGAAAGAATAACGGTTTCTCTAGTTCAACACCAAAGAAAATGTGTACACCGTAATATTACTGGGGGTAACTTGGGGTAAAGAGAGTGAAAGCTTGCATTGTGTTGGAAGCTAAACAATATTGTATTTATTATTATTCTTTCTTTCAACACACCGGCTGTATCCTACCAAGGCGGGGTAGCCCAAAATGAAAAACGGAAGTTTCTCCTTTTACATTTAGTAAAATATACAGGAGAAGGGGTTACTAGCCCCTTGCTTCCGGCATTTTAGTCGCTTCTTATGACACGCATGGCTTACGGAGGAAGAATTCTGTTCCACTTCCCCATGGAGATTTATTATTATTATTTTTTTTTTCAACAGTTGGCTATCTTCCACCGAAGTACAGGGCGCTGACCAAAAAAAGAAAAGAAAAATCCCAAAAGAAAATACTTTCATCATCATTCAACACTTTCACCACACTCACCATTACACTGTTTTTGAGAGGTTTCGTACAGGAATACAACAGCCAGTTTAGACAGCAATTCCACATTCCCCAAGGATACACAACATTATCCCTCCAAACTGCAATATCCCAAACCCCTCTTTAAGTGCAGGCATTGTATTTCACATTTCCAGGGAACTGACAAGTCTGCCGATATATGAAAATAGAACGGTTTCCCCCTGATCCCTTCACTAAAATATTACCTGCTCACCACTCCAACAGATCGTCAGGTCACACAAGTACCATTCGTCTCCATTCACTCCTATCTAACACGCTCCACGCACGCTTGCTGGAAAGTCAAGCCCTTGCCCACAAAACCTCCTTTACCCCCTCCTCTCCAACCCTTTCGAGGACGACCCTACCCCGCCTTCCTTCCCCTATAGATTATATGCTTTTCATGTCCTCTTCTACTTTGGATCCATTCTCTCACTAAATGACCAAACCACCCTCAACAACCCTCTTCTGCCCTCTGACCGTAATACTTTTATTAACTCATATCTCTTATTCCATAATTCCCACATCCGAATTTTCTGCATAAAATTTACACCACACATTGCCCTTATAACAGGACATCTCCACTGCCTCCAACTGTCTCCTTGCTGCTGCATTTAACCTCCAAGCTTCACATCCATATAAGAGTGTTGGTACTACCATTACTTTCATTACATTCCTTTCTTTGCCTTCCATAGATAACGTTTGTATTATTATTATATTATTTTTTTATCACACTGCCGATTCCCACCAAGTGGTTGTGCCCGAAAAGAAAACATTCACCTCATTTCACTCCATAACTGTCTTGCCAGAAGGTGTTTTACCACTACAGTTTTTTTAAACTGCAAATTAACACCCTCCTTCAGAGTGCAGGCACAGATACTTCCCAATCTCCAGACTCAGTCCGGCTTGCGGTTTCCCTGAACCCCTTCATAAATGTTTACTTCTCTCACACTCCAACAGCATGTCTAGTATTAAAAAACCATTTGTCTCCATTCACTCTATCAAACACGCTAACGCATGCTGCTGGAAAGTCAAGCCCCTGCACACAAACTCTTTTCCCCCCTCCCTCCAACCTTTCCAGGGCCGACCCCCTACCCCGCCTTCCTTCCACTAGCAGACTGATAACACTCCTCTTGAAGTTATTCTGTTTCGCTAATTCTCTACCACATGTTCACCGAACCACCTCAACAACCCTTCATCAGCCCTCTTTGGGAATAGAACAGTTTTGGTAATCCGCACCTCCTAAACTTCCAAACTATGACTTCTCCTGCATTAATTCACAACCACCACATTGCTCTCAGACATGACATCCTCTCACTGCTCAAGCTTTCTCCTCGCTGACAACATCATCACCCATGTTCCACACCCATATAAGAGCGTTTGGTAAAACTATACTCTCATACATTCCCTCTTTGCCTCCAAGGACAAAGTTCTTGTCTCACTGACTTCTACGTGCCACCACTACCCATTTTCCCCTCATCAATACTATTATTACTAATCTTTTATAGAAACATACGACTGAACACGTCCCTACCCAAATATTTGATACATTCACTCCTCCTTACTCTCTCCCTCCAATCGGATATCCAATCTTTCATCACCTAATCTTTTTGTTATCCTCATAACCTTACTCTTTCCTGTATTCACTTTACATTTTCTTCTTTTGCACCACCCTACCAAATTTCATTCCTCCAATCTCTGCAATTCTCTTAGAATCTCCCAAGAGCACCAGTGTCATCAGCAAAGAGCAGCTGTGACAACTCCCACTTTGTGTGCGATTCCCTTTATCTCTTAACTCCACGCCTCTTGCCAAGACCCTCGCATTTACTTCTCTTACAACCCATCTATAAATATATTAAACAACCACAGTGAAAGTCACAAATCCTTGTCTAAGGCCTACTTTTACTGGGAAATAATTTCCTCTTTCCTACATCACTCTAACTTGAGCCTACTATCTCGTAAAAACTCTTCACTGGCTTTCAGTAACCACTCCTACACCATACACCTGCAACATCTCTCTGCCACATTGCCCCTATCCACCTGTTCATACGCCTTTTCACAAATCCATAAATGACACAAGACCTCTTTAGCCTTATCTAAATAGGTTCACTTATATGTTTCACTGTAAACACCTGGTCAACAACCCCCCTCACCTTTCCTAAAGCTCTTGTTCATCTGCTATCCTATTCTGCGTCTCTTAACTCTTAATTCTTTCAATAATAAACATCCATACAGACTGTTGCCAGGTATGACTCAAACAGACACTTTTGTTGTTTAGTTTTTTTTGCGTTTTTTTTTTCAACAAGTCGGCCGTCTCCCACCGAGGCAGGGTGGACCAAAAAAAAAAGAAAGAAATCCCAAAAAGAAATACTTTCATCATCATTCTACACTTTCAGAGCGCACAACCGTCGCACATTATCATGTTTTTGCAGAGGTGCTCAGTATACAAACAGTCTAGAGCACTATACCATTAAAGATACACAACA